TATATATATATATAGATACTACTACTAACAATTTCCAATACTTTAACAAGACTAAAGATTCCATACTGAATTATCTTGCTATTCAGACTTTCCATTAGTGTCTTTCATTAAAAATCATACATATGAAAGTATTTTCCATGCCAACCTGCAATATTATTATTGTTCTTGTTGTTGTTGTGTTGTTAGTAGTAGTATCTATATATATATATATAAATGACTTTATGTGTCTGTGTATGTTCCAACATAACTCTGGAACGCCTCAAGCAATTTCAACCAAACTTGGTACAGAGATTACTTACTCTCTGGAAACAAGTACTGTGGTGGTAAGACACCCCTAACATCCCTTAGAGGGGTGTTCTGTTAAGATATAGCCTGTTGTGCCTTCAAATGACTTCTACCATACTGCCGTAAAATGGCTTCTACTGTACAGCAGAGTGAAGTTGCCATGGTAACGGCTTCACAGTACTCCACAAGGGGGCTCCCTCTGGTAAGGGGGGAAAATCCAACTTTAGAAATAATCCTGTATTAGACAGGATTACAATAAATAAATACCCGGACAATGCCTGGTTATTAGATAGTTTTTAAAATTAGATAAGACACAACATTTCCAATTTACTGTCTTGGAATTTGAACAAGACAATTGCAATGTTTCTGCCAAAAGAAGGAAGAGGAAAAAGGTGGAGTTAGTATTCATGAACAGCAAAGCAACTGATAAAGTCGTGGTTATCTTCCTACGTCCTTTCTCCACCTCCAACCTAAAGTGAGGCATAGCATCTATTAAAGTAGCCAACCTGGAAGAAACAGATGAGCCAAGGTCAGAATACGCATGTGTCCTGCTTTCATCATCAAGACAAGGACTGCTGGGGGTGAAGTCTACATCATCTCCTTCTCCATAGTCTTCAAACTGTTCTTCATTACTGATCAGAGATGCAGTGGAATAGGTGGAAAGATCAGAAGATGCAGGATTCAGCAGATTTGATCTTGGAGGAAAAAGAAAGAAAACATCATGACACAATCCTAACATTAAGCTTTCTACCTTCAAACTACAAAATGTTTCCAAAAATCAGAGGACATCACTTTGAGAAGATGGGCTCAAACTGGCAGAGAAATGTTAAAACAGCAAGCTAAAACACAAGACAATTTGGTTCTTGAATTCCAAAAGAAGGAAACACATAAAACTCATTCCTCCTCCTTATTTTTTTGGGTCACTTGTCTAATGCAGAGTGACATTGCTATAAACAATTTTTATACCATAAATATATAGTCTCTTCTCGGTGTCTTTATAGACACATCTATGTAATTTGCTTGGCAATAATACAGAAGTAGTTTGCTATGGACTAAATGTTTAAACTCATCTAAGAACTCTGTATAATTACAAATACTGCACACATTCCTAATATATACAGCATTGTGATTCATGTACACATAATTATGAGTTCCTGGAACTTGCTGAAATGTATTCTTCCCTGCCAATCTCTCCTTCTTCTTCCCACAAATGCTTCACATTTTCCTTAGCAGTTGTCTCCATCTTCATGGGGAAGCTCACATCAGTCTTAATAGAAGGAGTTCTATACTGGGTTGCGAAGCTTTTGGTGTGTGTGTGTGTGATTCACTGGCTCAAAATGAACAGGTCAGCAAATGCACAAATGCCAGGATACAAATATACGAGATAGACATACATAACAACCTATTCACACAAAGATGCCACAGCAATTTTTCCTGTCAGAGGAAGGAGAAAATAGACTCTTAATATGTAATCCCCTTTAGACCAATTCAGCTTTTGATCCTAACAAACCTAAGTGCATCCAGCTATCAAATACTACTAGGTTCTTTTAAATGAAAGAGAAATGCAAGGAAAGATTAATAGAATACATATTTACATAAGGTAGAAGACTCCACAGTTTTTGCACATTGAACTAGGTCAGTGATGATTAACCTTTTTCTCCTTGCGTGCCGTCATCGCGTGTGTGCAATAGCACATACACATGTGCCCACATCCATAATGCAATGTGCCCCCATGCATGCGTGTGACTCCCTCCCCCACGCATGCGCATGACACACCCCTGCGCCCCGCTTTGGGCTAGCAGGCCTCCCTGAACCTCCTGGGATCAAAAATGGGGCACAGGGATTTCTGTACTGTCCCATGCTTCCCCCAACCCCGCCATAACCCCCCACCCCGCACATGCACGCATGATCCCCCCCGCCCCCACTCATACATGTGCATCTCCCACATTCGCGGCAGGGACCCAAAAATCAGCTGGCCAGCAGGAGGCATGCGTGCATCCGCGGTGGAGCTGAGTTTTGCCCTCCCCAGCCCTCAGGAGCATTTTGCAAGCCTCCCAAACCCTCTGCACGTCCATTTTTGCAAAGGGGGCGGGGTTTCAGGCAGCCAAAAATGCTGTATTCAGTGTATGACGCACCCAGATTTTCACCCTTTTTTTTGAGGGAAAAAGGTGCGTCTTATACTCCGAAAAATACATAAGTTCTGCAATAGGCTCTGATGCTTTATAAAGGATCAGACTTCAAGATCACCATTATCTTTGCTTAAGAAAAGCCCACAGCAGTTTGCAGCACTATATGTGAAATTAATGATAATATAACTACACTATTATAATAAAAACTATATACTATAAAAACAAATATATAAACTAAGCTATGTGGTGAAGACAAAAGGAAAAGAAAAAAGGTAGAAACCCTATAACTTCCTTGATGGAAAAAAAATCTCTAGAAAATAGGAAAATAAAAAAGAATTATAAGCAACTAAGCAAATTAAAAATTCTCTAAAATCCCTACATTGTCGCTAATGTTTGGGTGCATGTGTGTATACCCTCATTTAATGAATATATCTATTTATGGCTATCTGACTATTAAATTAAATACTTGCCTTTGTCTTTTCTCCAAAATTTTGACTCTATTTTAAACACATTTTGAATTGTATTGTCTTGTTCATCTCTTCTAGATAAAGCCAATTCAAATGCTGAAAAAAGGCAACATTCAAAGTTCCAGGGAACAAGCATCCTTCCATTTAGTACATAATCACTTTTGGGGCAAGAGTCTAAACCTGTATATATTTAATGTTCTTCACAGATGGAAAGATTCCAGATTTGGAGAATGTAACAAAATCTTGATATATTTAACCTTTAACTGCTTTTAAGAACCTAGTTCACTATAACAATCATGTCCAACCAATAAGGAACATCAAGCAGATCTTTCTCATAGTCTACTTCCTTATGTTACTTTAGACCAGGGGTGTCAAACTCAGGACCCAGGGGCCGGATCCTGCCCAGGGGGTACTTAGATCTGGTCCACAGCAACACCCTGGAAACAGCGAAGGACTGGCCCACGGTGCGCATGCGGCCCTCCCGAGCTCTATTTTCGCCAGCAGAGTGCTTGCATGAGGCTGTGACAGCCCAAAACAGAGTTCAGGAGCCTGTTTTCACTGACAGAGTGGTTGAGCCACCACAGGTGCCCCCGACAGAAGTAATATCGAGCTGGCCATGCCCACCCTGTCCACACCCACCCTGTCCCTCTGAGGTCAAACACAACCCTGATGTGCCCCTCAATGAAATCAAGTTTGATACCCCTGCTTTAGACATAAATCATTTCCAAACCAGAAAAGAGGTTTAGCGATGGCAGCAGAGCAAACACACACAGAACCTACAACAAGGAAGATGTACAACAGTGACTATCTAGATGGAGGTTGTCCCGGCTAAGTGGCTTTGCATGAGTAGTAATCTAGGAGCTGCCACTTTAGAAACATTTTAAGCAGTGATGGGAAATAAAGAGTGATGGGAAACTGTCTCCTTCAGCTTTGATCTGATGCAGTTCAAAGCTTTCCAAATTGCTTCAATGAGATGAACTCAGTGGCCTTTCTGATTCAGTGAACCGAATCAGGTCACCTCCACAGCTTTGTCAAAGCAGATTTCAGTTGCTTTGCACTAACTTACGGTGCATATCAATACAGCTCTTGGATACTTACACAAAGGGTCTTTTGCTATCATGTCAACACAACCAGGAGTGTTAGGCAACTACCGTGTTTCCCCTAAAACAAGACCCACCCTGAAAAGAAGCCCTATCATGTTTTTGAACGCATGCACTCCAATTAAGCCCTACACCAAAAATTAGCCCTAATTAAGACCCCGTCCATTCCGGGGTGCAGGTAGTAGGGAGAGATAAAAATAAAGCTAGGGTGGAGATGGTGGAGCTGCCCTACTTACCAGGCCTCACACACCATGACACCTGCCTCATATTCTCCTTTGGCAACTTCTTCTGCAGCCCACTTCTTCTGCGGCCGCTTGCCACTGCTCGCACGTGTCCCCCCTGGCCTCTGTTTTGCCCCCAGAGCCTTCTGGAAAGCCCTTTGCAGCCAATAACAGAGCTCCAGAGCTCGTGTCAATCCAGACCTCATTTCTTGGTTGCAGAGGGCTTCCTGGAAGGCCTCTGATGGCGAAGTGGAAGCCAGAGAGCACCATGCATGTCAATCTGGAGCCCGTTTGTCAGCTGCAGAGGGCTTTCTGGAAGGCTCCGATGGCAAAACAGAGGCTGGGAGTGACAGATACAAGTGTGGCAAGCGCCCGCAGAAGTGGGCCGGCAGCATGCTCCTGCTGGGCGGGGCTATCGGTGCTGCAGCGGCAAGGTGAGTCAATAATTAGACCCACTCAAAAAGAAGCCCTAGCCATTTTTTTTCAGGGGTCAAAAGAAAATAAGACTGGGTGTTCTTTTCGGGGAAACACGGTAGGACCAATATTAGTAACATTATTTTGTACATTCTGGTGTAGAAGTACCACTGCAATCACATGTTATACATATGTGTATAGTACAAGAACTATTGGTCAACTCAATTCCTGACCTATTATTTTGCTGTCATGGAACCAGTTTGGTCTAGCAGTTAAGAGTGGTGCAGAGAAGAAAGAATATTTAGCGTGCCAGGCTAGAAACCAGGAGTTCTAATTATGTCTTAGGATGAAAGCCAAAGGGGTGAGCTTTGGGTCAGTCACTCAATAATCTCGCATTAAGAATAAGTCACAGATCATACACTTTCACTTTTGTTCTGCAAGGCCTCTATGAACATTAGGCCTTAAAGCAGCTGAAAAACCCCAAAACCACAGAGCTCACTGTACAAAATCCAGTATACGATTCTTTTTTGTATTTGATTTCTTAACCGAGAAGACTCTAGAGCACAGGTGTCAAACTCGTTGAGTCACGTTGCCATCACATGATGATGAATTTTTTCATGGAGTTGGGGTGGGTGTGGCCTGCACGTGACGCATCTGGCCTTGGGCTGTCAGTTTGACACCCCTGCCCTAGAGCAATGTTTCTCAACCTTGGCAACTTTAAGATGGACTTCAACTCCCGAATTCCCAAGCCGCCAATGGGGAAATCACAGAGTTAGAATATTGTAGGATTTAAATTAGAATGAAGTAGGTGAGGGAAAAGTTGTTCAAGATTTCCATTTAAGCTGCCTTAAGCTTGAAATCTACCATCTTAAAGTTGGTATGGTTGAGAAACACTGCTCTAGAGGGATAGATTTTTCAAGAAATCAGTAGAAGCAGCAACCATCATCATGTTTGCCAGGGGCACTGGGTCAGGAAGACACTAGCAAGGGAGTTGTGGGTAGCTGAAGGACTGTAGGCATCTGAAAAGCAGGAACTTAATTATATCACAGTGCTCCTGCCAATCTGCAGCCTCTATCTATACCACTATGTTGTGCTTCCAATTACCTAATCACTATTGGTTCTTTCCTCCATGTTATCTAGCAGAACTGCTTCTATGTTTATCTGTTTCTCTGTTACATCACAGATGGAACACTATCCACAAATTATTTGAACTAGTCCTTTGACAACTCCTACAAAGGCTTTCATTCCTTATTTAAGAACGAAGGCCAAGGAGAACAATCCTCTCAAGTGTAATGCAAAAAGTTAGCAAAAATCCAAGAGTGGAAGTTAGCAAATTGATGTGTCCTGTCTGTCTGTCTGTCTGTCTGTCTCTCTGTCTGTCTGTCTCTCTCTCTCTCTCTCTCTCTCTCTCTCTCTCCCCTGC